ATAATTTTTAGAATGTGAATTTTAATGTCTTATTTTTAAATCACATATAAATACGAAAATTAATGTTTGATATTATAACCGCATGAGCAAATCAAGACATTGAATTTTAAACTCGCGTGAATACGAATCGCTACATTGGTCTTAGAAAGGCGTAAATACAAATCACAATATCGGATTTTTAAACCTAGTATATAAGAATCGCAACGTACAATATTCAAATCGAGTGAATAAGAATCGCAACATGCAACTTTTATATCACGCAAATCTGAAAAGCTATGTTTGATATTAAAATCGTGCCGGCCGATGGTCGAGTAATTAGCGTGCCTGAATGCAAGCCATTGGCTGCTGGTTCCAATCCGGCGCAGGGCATGGATGTTTCACTCTGTGTTTTGTTCTCTATTGTTGGAATGTGGCCCACCCTGTAGAACAGGTATGTGGCAGTCTGGCGTGGGTAATGTCGCACGCCTCCGTGACTTAGGTTCACAGGTGCCCACTGGATAACGTTAAATGAGTAACATTTCTGGCATCTTCCTCGGTGAAAAGCGTTAAAGTTCAGTGCCTGACGTTAGGAAAATAATAATTAAATATTAAAATCGTGTGAATAAGAATCGGGATATTAGCAGATTCCAGGCTTGGGACCTCTAAAAGGCTTGTCAGAAGCAGCGTCGTTTGAACTACGAAAATCGGAGCTATCTGGCGGGCGGGTAAAAATGCGGAAAATCTCATTTGCTGCATGTAAAAGGGGAGAAAATAGCTAAAATAAGTAAAAATGAGGAAGGATTGGTAACTATGTAGTTTGAATTTTCTGTTTCTCTTTGAAAATCGGTGAATTTTCTGAAAAAGCGGAATATTTATTAGAAAATCTGAATTTTTGATAAAAAGCTGAAATTCAAGAGATAAAAGTGAAAAAGGCGGAAATCCGCTAAAAAGCGGGAAAATCTCATCCCTGCAAACTGCTACTAGTGAATGTTGCATAGGTTTTTAAAAAAGCCCTTAAAGGTGTTTTTTCCATTGGGTGTTTTTAAAAAGTGCTAAATTTTCCCTTTTCGAAAATGAGATTTTTTTCTTCACCATATCGATTTTTGCTGCATATTATGCAAAAGCACGCTTTTCACATTGCTCTATTCAACGTTTTCACAATTCATTAAATCACAATTTATTCCAATGTCCCGTCGGTCCACAGCATATGAAAGAACCAATAATTTTACATGTTTGATTAAATACTTACGTGTTCACATGTGCGTCTACAGAGCTTGGATCTGTGAAATTCTTGCACTCTCTTGTGCAACTCTGCTCCATTTTGCAAGATATTCTCAATTTCAGGCTTCATTTTCCACTGTCTGATATCTAAGCGAAAAACCTCTTAATCTTTTTATAATCGCTAATATAATCAAGAAAAGAGTTCTTTGTCAGAAACTGGTTATTTTATCGTATTCATATAAACTCTGAAAATTATTTTGCATTTTGTTAATGTATATAGTGCTTAAAAATATTTTTTGAGTGCTTAAAAAGTACTTAAAAAGTGCTTATTTTTTGTTGAAAGATTTGGCTACACACACTGTAGTAGTTGTGCAGTGCAGTTTACTAATTTTAGAACTGGAACCATGAAAGCCTTTCTATTGATTCTGAGGAATAGCCTAACATGTTTGTGATGTGCTTTTGTATGACATGAAATTTCTCCTATTAGCTCCTAAGATAAAAACCCTTATAAACCTGTTAAGAAGCAAAAGTATTTTACAAAATATTCCATTATTGTTTGATGCATTATTTTGTTAAAACCTGATACGATTTTTTAAAAGTTTGCTTATGTAAGGATTTGTCACAAAATTTATTAATTTTCATGTTTAAATATCATTTTTAATTTATGTTAATATGAAGTTAATTAAATTCTTTTTAAGGTTGGAACTTTTGTTGAATCGCCTGTAGAATTCTATAGTTCTCGTATTCCCAAGAAGCAGAGGAAACAAACTCTTGTAGAAGAATTGCTTGCTGATGCTGAATTCAGACAGTATGATAAATTTTTATGACTAAATTTTGTTTTAGTTGCTGAATTATACGTTCAAGATATGGTTTATTTTTTTTATAGGACATTATTTTATCTTTGTTTAGGTATAATTAGAACACGTAAAATTGATTATTATATTAATGCTTGTAATATATTTTGATTTTAATCTCTTAAAAGTGGTTTCTGTTCCAAATGCTATCCTAACAAGTAATAAAATTGATAAATAGTATTCAATATTAATTTAAATTAATATTAATTTTGTTCTGCTTTTTATAATATTGCATATCTGCCAAGTCTCAAGTTTTTCACGACTACCTACTGTTTACCAATTTATTCACGAATTTCTCCGTTTTTGTTGAAGAAACTAGAAGAGAAAAAAAAGTTTGGGCTAAATTATCTGCTGATGGCAAAAATACTTCTCTTTTTTCTCAACAGATGGTGCTGCAGTATGTTTAGTGTTAATAGTTTATATAATTATAAATAATGGTTTAAAAAAATCTTCTTTAGATTAAGATTTATTTATAAATTTTTTACTTTACTAAATGTGACTTACATGATGTATCAAAACTTAACATGTAGTCTAAAAATATCGCTAGTTAAATCACTGTAAGGTTTGCCACCCCTAGATGGCGCTACGAGATATGAACAAAACTTAAGAATTAATTAAAAAAGAATCTCGCTTCTGATTTAGAGTGGTGAAGAAAGGATTAGACTGTGGGGGGAAGGAGCGAAGCGTTCTTTGACTATGTGATTTGTAATATTTTTTATATACTTAATTTTATGTTTGTGATGTGGCATAGTAGGTGTTTAAATAAATTTGTTTTATGCCAAGAATGGTTTAGTGTGAAAATCATTTCACATTATGAAAATTTGAAAAAGAACCTGCAAGTTTTAGTATCACCGTTATTTTATTTCTCCAATGTTGGCAGGCATGATGTTGCATAAGTTTTAATTATTAAGACTATTATTGTGATAATTCTTACATTATTTTGTTTATTACATTGTTTTGAAGTCAGCAATCAAAAGTATGATATGTGTCACAGTTGTGTGGGTGGGATATGGTGGTTATAAGTACCGCTTAATATTTCAGACAAATAAAGAAAATGTTCGCAAATTCATTTCGATTTAAATTCCTTAAAGTTAAAAACAAAAAAGAAATGTTTTTAATCTCTTTGCTGGTGTTTCATACATTTAAAAATTTTCTTTCTCCTTTTGTGAGAAATTTAGAAAACTTACGTGCTTGTGCAATTTAATTTTGTCCTCTAAAACTGAGCCCATGCAACATCCATGAAAAATAGTAATTATAAAATACAGCTTACTCAGCTGATGATTATGCAAATTATATTGAAATTAATAGCATTTCTAAGCACTTGTATAAAAAGTAATTCTCACTCATATATATATTTTAATGTAAAAGAATGCTAGTCTTTTGTTACTTTTTAAATTTTGCTGTCATGAACTTAAATATGGCTTTGCATTTTATTTTATATGTGTTAACTTTTTTTATTATTAGGAGCTAATCAATAACTCTGAGGGTCCCCTGAATACAAATGGAGTTAAGAGAAAAATTAAAAGCATCGTGTATTTTATATTCTAAATAAGAAGTTTCTTGAAAAATTATTCCATGAAACGTGTTGTGGATTATGACTTAGAACCCGCATATTTAAAATATCCTGTAGATTTGAACAAATAATTGTTATAACCCATTTAAATTCGGTTATATTGTTGATATAAGACAAAGTCTATGAAGCAAAACAAAGAACATTTCTTGGCTTCTACAATACTCAGCCCTTGAAAAGCAGTAAGTAAAAATACAATCATTACCGGTATTAATTTTAGAAACTCATTTGGCCGGAATCTTTCTTCAGAAGTACCACTGTTAAGTTAAATCTACGGTAGTAATCGTGTCTTTTCCTTATCCAAATACTTGTGATTGAAACCAGATCATCCTCAGTAGATATTGATTCAAGTTCAACCATTCTAAACCAAATGCTGGCTTTTCTTTTTCCTGATGCTTCAGCTAGCCTTTTTGGATGCAAAATGGGAACCTGCAAAGATAATTAAAAAGCAGAGCACTTGACAGGACTTGAGTATTGTCTAAATAATTGGCAATGCTTTCTAGTGAGCATCAAGAACTCCGTGGCCACATCCAACAGTTAACAAACAGCCACACACAAAAAAAAAGTATTTGAGAAAAATTTTCAGTAATTTAGAGATGATCCCTCGCAGTTATAAGCTAATTTTAGACTCATTCCTTCCATTTGTCCTCTCCCAATTTTACACAATTATCAGCATGATATTTGATGGGGGGAATCCAAAATTAGTTCTCGTTAAGTGTGTTTTTGAGATTTAAATATATATATCTTAAAAGTGTTTGAATAGTTCCTTGCAGCAACAATTTAAAGATATGAATTTTAAATGTAGGGCAGCTTAATCTGTGCCCTAGATCCTTTTGAATGACCAGTGTCCTGCCTTTAAGATGTTTCATAACCTTTATATTGTTAGTTAAACCAATCAGGGACTCTCAGCCAGGATAGCCTGGTTGGCAAGAGCACATGTCCAGAAGGTCATGGGCCAGCCGGCCAAAGACTCCTCGTGTAGTCAGCAGTGACTGCACGTTAAGTCCTTCATGTTCTCATAACAAATTATACCTCTGGGGGTACTAATCTAGGATTTTCCTTGTCTTCTGGATTGGTTCAAAATTACAAGGCTACGGAGTTGAACATTAGTAGTCGTAAACCCAAAATTGAGTCGACTGTTCAATGACAGTTATAGAATCGAAATAAAATCAGGGGCTCGGGGGGGGGGGGANGGGGGGGGGGATAGAGCTCCTTCCAATGAGGCAAACCAGGTTCGAATCCAGGTGATGGCTGGTTGATACAAATTTCGCATATGGCTCACCCCGACCAGAGTGCTGGTGTAAAATATCTTTGGTGGTAGGCAGATCATGGGATCTTTGCTGTAAAGCTAACTGTGGAAGGTTTTCAAGGTTTTCCTCTCCATGTAACATAAATGCGGTTTAGTTTCATCAAAAAGTCCTCCATAAAGGCAGAATTTCTCCCTGTACTTGATCCAGTAGTTCCCTTGTTTTCTGGTTAGGATTCAATATTACAAGCCTTAAACCCTAAATTGTGTCGACTGTTTTTTAAAATTTTTTTTTATGGCAGAAGTCTTCATTCATAATTACAATACTTTCTATCTACACAGGTACCAGAAAAAGAAGTTTAGTGAAATCCAAAGAAATCAGCCAGCAAAATTTGTGAAACGGAAAAGAGAAAAGAAACTGAAACCTGCTGATTTTAGGGAAGGAAATGCACAGAAGAAAGCTGCTAAGGGAAAAAGGAATAAATCGAAGAAGAGAGTAAAATAAATGAAAATATTTTTGTGTCTGAATGAGCATTTTGATAAATAAAGCTGTTTCTTTAAAGTCAGTCAAAATTATTTGCTTTTGACTTTACAATTGTTTTATTGTTATATTTATTATTTAAATAGTTTTTTAATAATTTTTCTTATCGTTAACTGTGCTTTTACAATTCACAGATTTGCTGTTTGTTAGACACACCTTAAAATCTTAGCTTACCGGATATTTTTCATAACTCAATTATTAATACAAATACCTATTTCAATTTATAATTTTTTACAAATTTGTCCAATTATAAAGTATATTACAGGGATGAGATTCTTTCGCGGATTTCCGCTTTTTCTCAGATTTTTCCATTTTTCCCGCTAATTTCCGCCGAAAATTTTTTTTGCACAAGTTAAAATATTTTATGAAGAATTTAATTTTCCGCAGAGTGAAATTATTGAAGTCCTCATTCCTCCCTCTGAAGTTTCTCTAAAAATCATTTCCTTGGGATAAAACTGGTTGACCTTTATACAGGGATGAGATTTTTTTCGGTTTTTTCTCTCGAATTTCAGCCTTTTTATCAAAAACTCAGATTCTCTAAAAGTTTCGTTTTTTTTATTTATTTATTTATAAATATCCCGTTTTTTTTTTTTTAAAAATTCAGTCGTTGAAGTCAAATTATTATATTTATTTACGATTTTCAAAGAAAGACAGAAAATTCAAACTACGTCCTAGCTGCTAATCCTTCCGCATGTTTACTAATATTAGCTATTTTCTCCGATTTCACGCATAGAAAATAAGATTTTCCGTATTTTTTATCCGTCTGCCGGATAGCTCGTATTTTCGTAATTTAGACGTCGCTGCTTCTTGTATTCTGGAGAGAAAGCAAACAAAAAAAGCGAAAAAAAATAGAGGTGGGTTTGTGCTGAAAATATTTATTTGCTCATTCAATTAATCTTGTAAATTTTTATTTATTGTGTAAACAAAAAACAATTCAAACAATCCTTTTAGAAATCCCAAGTCCCGACTCTGCAAATATCTCGATTTTTATTCACGCGATTTTAATATCAATCATCGATTTTCGTATTTACCTGATTTAAAAGTTGCGCATTGCAATTCCTATTTACGCTTTTTAAATACCGTACATTATGACTCGTATTTACGAGATTTAAAAAATATAATATCGTGTTTTGTATTTTTACATTTCTAAAATCGCGATTTTATTATCAAACATCGATTTTCGTATTTACCTGATTTAAAAGTTGAACGTTGCGATTCTTATTCAGGCCATTTAAATATTGAACATTGCGATTCTTATTTACGAGATTTAAAAAACCAATTTCGCGATTTGTATTTACGAGCTTTTAAAACCCTATGTAGCTACCCGAACTTAAAATCCAATGCCGTGATTCGTTTTTACGGTTGTAATATCGCGCGATTTTAAAATTATGCATCTTGATCTAAAAATTACGCATCATGATTTGCATTTTCGCATTTTTTAAATTCGATGTAGAGTTTTATATGCACCTGATTTAAAAGCCTCATATCGGGATTTATAATCACATGGTTTACAAGTTTAAAAATCGCACTTTTTTTGTCAAATTTTTGTTTATACATATACATATATCTTAAATCTTCTTGGATTTCCTCTTTTTTACTTTCTGACTACTCTCATCCCTGATATTATGAAGTTATTACGTTTTGCACCATATTATGTTTTTTTTCTGCGCTAAACAGCTCATAATACCCCATGGGCCATAAAGGGGTGATTGTGTTCTGTGTTTACCCCGGAATTCTGGGTTTTTGATATCATTTGCCAGGGTCTAAAAAACTAGGAGCAGGATATGTCCTTTTTTTGCAAATATCTTTGTATTCCATGTATCTCCAAATTAGTTCACGAACTTCAGCGAATCAAAAACTTGTAATCCAAATAAATTGTCACAGAATTTTTGGTTCGTCAAATTATTGCCATTTTGAATATTTAGAACTACGTCGAAATCTGCTAATGTCATGATTCTATACGTGATTTTAATGTCAAACATAAATTTTCTTATTTACTTGTTCAGTAACTGCAGAAGTATCTTAAGAGTAGGGGGTCTCTCTCTGTCCCTGTATATTATATTAGTTTTATCTGATTATTTATTAGTCTGTATTATCTGAGCCTATCAAAATGGCAACTGAGAATTTGAACTTACAATTTTAATTTCATGATTCAAATTGTTTTAAGATAAAATTTATAAAAGAAATTGTTTAACTGTAAATTATTTATCTCTCCTTTAGGGTATTTTTTTATTCATTTTTTTTATATTTCTGTTTTCCTTTTCTTTAAAATTCTGTTCACTGTTGCATATAATGAAGAAATTGACATTTTCAAATTGTTAGTTGATGCTACTTTCTCTACCGAATTGCGTGGCAAGACAATAAAATTTTGTAACGCTTTCTGGTTGGCCAGGGTTTAGACTCAATTTTACAGATAAATGTTTTTTTAAAAATCATTTTGCCATCTAAAATTTGTTGACTCACATTTATCTTTGTAAACTTGTCAAAACATTTATCTTTGTAAACTTCTTTCATTAACTTGACTGTCTGGAGCCATTTTGCCCAAAGATAGCACAATTTTATGGCACAACTCATTATAAATATTTAGAAACTTCCAATTATCATTTTGAAAAAAAAAAAAATCGTCTGCTTTGACAATAATTTTTGAAGATATTTTAAAGGATTAATTATCACCAGATTTTCCAACCTGAAAATTATTTTAGTATTATTATACAATGTTGTCACTGTGCTTTCTAAACATTTTTAGAATCCTTGTCTAAATTAAACTAATAATGCTATGCACGCACATTAAGTATCGCAAATAAATATTTGTGCAAGGACAAATTCTAAGAATTCACTACTGAAAAAATAAATTTTAAAAATATTGATTCATGTTTGATTATTTCTTCAAGTTTCATTTAGCAAATAAAGTGGTGTCAACGTTTTTTTCCCCTTATTTTTTTATCTTTTTTTTCTTATTTTTTTATTTATTTATGCAACTTTTCAATGACATCCTGCTATCAATTTGCAACTCCAAATGTCAATACTTTTTGACATGAAATCTAAAAATGTAGATAAGATTAGATTGTAATTGTAACTGTAGATTACTAAACAGCCTCATATATTTATAGTCTAACTCGCTTATAACAAGCTTTGATTTAACGAGAACTCGGATTTAACAAAGAAATTGAAAATACTTAGTTGGTACAATCTATTGAGCATAGCTCAGTTTTAATGAGTAAACCCCTTTTTTAACGGATAATATATTTGTGATTTACTAAATTTCTACTTTTTTCCACCTCTCCAGTTTAGTAAATTCCATCTTGGAAAAATTTGTTTAGCATTCCAAAAACAACTTAAAGCTGGTGATGAATCATAAATCCAGGGAACGCATGAACTTTTTCGAAAAAACAGGGCTCCGAATGACAATGTTTTTTGGGACATGAGTCTTATTGGCAGAAAAATAACACAACAAAGAAATAATTAATTAGTTCAATGCAAATAAGCAAAATTTTTTTTTGCACTGTACAGGAATGAAAAATAAATTAAGTGCTACATGCGCCAGGTAGCTGAGCGGTAGCGCTTCGCACTGTCGTGCCATAGGTCCCTGGTTCGATCCTCGGGCCAGGCAAGGTTGACTCAGCCTTTCATCCCTTCAGTGGGTCGATAAATGAATGAGTACCAAGCATGCTTGCGAACTAAACACTGGGGGTTTCGCGTTCGGCTGACCACCTAACCGGAACATCTGCTCCTGCACCCCAGAGCCCAAAGGTTAAGAAAACTAAGATGGGCGCAGTAGGCCATGGCCCTCTATGGGCTGCCGCGTCGCTGTGTAGAGAGTACATGTACCGTATATTCCGGCGTATAACGCGCAATTTTAATACAAAAAGTAACATTGGAATTTACGGGTGCGCGGTATACGACGAATATAAAAAATTATAGTAGATTAAAAAAATTTAAATATTGAAAAATACGTTTATTTTAAAGAAATAACATACCTTTACCTATATACTTTATTGATTTTCGTTATTACATAAATAGTTCATTATATTCGTCTTCCGTTAATTCCTCAGGCGCGTCATCACAATCTGTTTCGTCTTCATCATCTGTGTTACCCTCATCCATAAATAAACAGTCATCTTCTGATCCGTCCATATTATTTGAAATGCTGCATTTTTTGAATGATTTTCTAATAATCTCAGGCTTAATTTCATCCCATACTTTTAATATCCATTCGCACACTGTTTCCAAACTTGCATGACGCATATGTCCTCCTTTCATAAAGGTTTTATCGCCCTCCAACATCCAAGTGTTCCACTGTTTTTTTAAATTGGCTTTAAATGGTTTGTTTAAGCAGACGTCCAATGGCTGAACTAATGGTGTCAATCCGCCCGGAATAACTGCCATATCGGTTTTACATTCTTTCAACAATTTTTTTGTATTATCTGTAAGGTGGGACCTAAACATATCCCACACTAAAAGGTTTTCTGGTTTTCTATTGATACTAGACGAGATATTGCACATGTACAATCGAAATTTTCGTGAGCGTTATACGAAGAGTATATCTTAAAATTGAAAAAAAGTTATTAGAAATTACGGGTGAGCGTTATACGCCGGGGCGAGTTATGCGCCGGAATATACGGTATTTTAATAAATCTGAACAAAGTTTTATGATTTTTATGAACACTCTGTTATAATGAGCAAATATCCTTTTCGTGCTCATTATAAGCGATTTCGAGTGTATACACAAAAGTATGATAAGATTAATGTAAAATTTTTAAGATATTTACAATTCTACCGAATGACTAAGACTCCTACATTTATTATTTTTATAATCCTGTAATTGGAAATTTTAGCAAATGTTAGTAGATTTAAAAAAAAAGAGAATTTTTTTATAAACTTGAAAAAAAATTACATTACAAAAATTTAATTTAATTATTATACACTGCTTAAAATAGAATATTTAACCATATTGGCTACCTACTTATGTACAGTTACTCCCTGTTATCTGTGGGATTATGATCCATTTAGAGTTTATCTGT